GATCTTTATACCTAGTAATAGTTCAACATGGATATCTTTATATAAAGATTTTGAAATCTTTATAAAGGGCCAAAAGAGTACAAGGGCATGTCACGAATAAGGACCCTAGATGCTCATTAATTATCCATGAGTTTTTGAAGTCGTTTAATAAACTCGCAGATTSTCTTTTATCAGGTCTAAGAACACTCAGCTACGCCTCATGGTTTTAAACCTGATAAAACACTCCTGCTCGTTTATCAAACTATACTTCGTTGTTTCTGGTCAAYGCGTCACAAAGCATACAAGTAACCAGGGTAAAAGTATTGTCTTTTAATGTATTCCTTTCTCACTAAATTACTAATGTTCTAATATCGTATGACAACAATCTTGCAAGTAGGTGTACCCAAATAAATGTTGAAATTCTAAATTTTAATCTACACCCTAAAAGATACCAAATCGCTGATTTTTACCCCTAAGAGATATGATGAGCATATCCGATATTTTTGCCTTGGAGTACCCCCCTCCAAGGCATAAGCCACTATGAGAAATGTGAATATAAAAAGGGTTTTGTTTTGGGATTTACTTGGACTTGTACTATAACACAGACAAAACCTTACCCTTAATTTTAATTGTACTCCTCTTATCCAATCAGAATCAAGTAATTTTGTAGAGTGTATTATAAGTATAGGTAATAGGACTACATGCATGCTGTCCAATTTGGAAATAATTGGATGAAAAAAATTCAGAGGACTGACAAAATTGGAAGAGGCYGACAGGCTGAGTCCAATTTGGCAGTCAGAGGAATTTTTTTGAATTCAATTACATGTATTTCCAAATTGTACAGACCAGTAGGCCTATTGCAGATTAATTATATATCACCCCAAACTATATTAGACTGGTTGGACAAGTCATAGTTTTCCCTCGAAAGAATGAATCCGAATGGAAACGATCCAAATTAATCTTTAATTTGGACAGGGAAGAGAAATGGAAATAATACAATAGTTGCTTTTATATGGGATCATAGAGTGATGATGATAATTAGCTTATTAGATGCACTTTGATATAGAGCACATGCAAAACAGAGTCAATATCATTTGTAAGAATCCTTTCTTTCAAATGCTCATATTCTTGAATAACTGCACTAAACTCAGGTAAAGCTTAGTGAAGTAATTTAAGTAGCCTTTCCTGACATCCCAGCGAAAATAACAACTTTCAGTTTCAACAAGTTTATAACTTCCTACCTTCTATCAGGCATGTCATAACGTGCTAATCTTTATATCTATCGCAATGTATTCAATTCCGCTAAATATATCTGATTGCTTGTGTCTTCGTGAAAGTCCGTTTCTGAGCAATTGGCAATATAAGCTGCTACTTATAAATGGATAAGTTTTGATATATGAAGTCTTTAAATCTTTTGCTCAAGAATGGGAGAGTTGCTCAACAATCACAAGGCCGCTATCACGAAAAACTAATTAATTATTCCATCTCGGTACAAATTAAGATTCATCAATAACAAGTATTCATACCTTTATGGAGATAGCAGGCATAGTCACTGTTACTCTATSCATTTTGAAGCAGAGAATAAACGCTGAGCACGAACCTTCTTCCAACTTCCACTTTATTTATGAACACACGATCATCAACCCTTCGATCACGGGATGCGTGCACGAAGGTCACGTGACCCTACACCCCACCCCCTCCCCCCAATAAACCAAGGTTAAGTGAAAATGAATCTCAGAAATGGAAAACAACACCTCTATATTAGTAAGAAGGCTATCTTTAAGGCCATGATGTAGAAAATAGGGTAATAGGAGAAAAATAGGAGAAAAATACATAAACCCCGGCCATTTTGGCTGGCATTTTACGGGATTTTAGCTATGCGAGAATGTAAAAAAAGATGGCGGATTCGGGTAGTTTTTTGGGTGATAAAAGGTAAGTTAGCGCACTAAATAACTATAAAAATCCCCTTTTCTCGCAAGAAATATATTCTTAGTAGATGTCTAAAGTAGATTTGTGCTATTAACTCGTCAAAAAGAGAAAAAATATGGTATTTTTTGCAATAGGATGTGAAGACAAGCGAAGTGTTTAGTATGGTTTTTCTGGCTTCATGACCTCTGTAACATTATATGATATTGTGTGACAATGCATCTTTGTTTAACTAGTTACGTTATAGTTAATCACAGGATTGTAATCGTATATATATACACATGTACGCCAGATATATATCAGTTCGCGTACTGATCAATACATGTAGTATAGAGTCAAGATAAAACAAATAAATCGAGACATAACCAACCGAAGACTATCACAACCTCAAAGCATACAATATTTTTCCTCTTCCTGGCGAATTAATAGTAAAATTCTACTTAAAATATCTATTAAAAGTATATTTCTTGCAAGAAAAATGCAGTTTTCAAGAATGAAGTTGAAATATACTTGAAATGTTTCGACAAGAAGTCGTTGTTTTATTTTGAGGTCATGAAGCCGGCAAAACAAGACTAAACACTTCGTAGGTCTTCACATTGTAGCGCAAAAAATACCATATTTTTTCTCTTTTTGTCGAGTAAATAGCACAAATCTACTTTAGATATCTACTAAGAATATATTTCTTGCAAGAAAAGGGGATTTTTATAGTTGTTTAGTGCGCTAACTTACCTTTTATCACCAAAAAAACTACCCGAATCCGCAATTTATTTTTTACATTCTCGCATAGCTAAAATCCTGTAGAATACCAGCCACAATGGCCGATTTGATCACGTAACCTCTTAGTGCAAGTCGTCTATTTCAAGAAAACAAAATTAATTTTCTATTAAAGTACGCACCTTCCTAAACTAAACATTTTTTGATGTTTTTGTATTTACTGGATTTCCATGAAGTCACACGGACATTTGGGCTTCCTGTGTTTACGCGATGTGAGCTCGTCTACCTCCCCCACAGTCTTATTGATCACGTCACACCAAGATGGCGGACGAAGTGAGCGTGAGTCAGAGTGATAAAACTGTCCTTGAAAGCATTTTTAGCCCATTTTTACCGTTAGGAACCGCAGATGATAATGATGAGATCCAAGAATCCTCCCAAGAACGGGATGTTAACAGCGAAAGAGCTAAAGAGTACGAAAGATCTGGAGTGGAGAAGGCGGAATCTGGTGGTCTGGATGAAGCACTAGAGTGCTTTAACCGGGCTATTGAAGTAGCACCATCTCGTGCATCTGGTTATAATAATAGAGCTCAGCTTTGGAGATTAAAAGGTCAGATTTTTCTTACACATCTAACACATCTACGTTTAATGAGAGCAAAGCGTTTAAGATAATATTCATAAGTTTATTAAATTATAGATATTAAGCCAAATACTCTATCTATATCTGTATGACTGGCAGTTTCATGCTGTCCAAACCGACCCACTTGTGACCCATTGAATATTTACAGAAGGGGGTTGGTGGGATGAGAAAATGGGGGCTCTTGAAAGGTTAATGACTCTAAAAAGAGGTCTTAAAATAATATTGATAATTTATATAACCCTTCAAAAGGTTGANTTTGTATCACCTATTTCAAAAAAACAGTTGTCACTGCCAAAGGCAATAGTCGATTCGAAGGTGTAATATATGAAAATAAACGCAAATAATCAAAGCCTTTAAAGTTCTTTCAGGCTACAAGCAACACTGGATATCTCAAAAATGACCTCTACATTCTTGACAAGAAGATAAGAAACATCAGTCATTCCAGCTATTCTTGGATCTTGAAATGACCTTTCTCTTATTGCTTATCTCTTAAATGTTTAAAGTTGATTTTTTTGTTAAGTCGATTTTTTTTGTTGTTGTTGTTTATTTTTCATTCCTTTTTTAACAAATTATAGGTGATATTAAAAATGCAATGAATGATCTGAACAAGGCAATTGAACTTGACGACCATGGTTCAGCAGCAGCTCAAGCCCACACTCAACGAGGGTTGATCCACAAATTACAAGGTGATGACGAACAAGCTCTTCTCGATTTTCAGGCAGGAGCAAAGCTTGGCAATAAGTTTGCAAAATCAATGGCAATACAATGCAACCCTTATGCTGCAATGTGTAACAAGATGCTTGCAGAGGCAATTGGAAAACTCCAGGAGTATAATCCTGAATAGTTCGGACAATCCAACTAAGCATGAAATCAAGATGAAGAGACACTAAACAATCATATTTAAAAGGGACTACAAAATGTGCCCAAGGCAGTATTGAAGTGACATGTATTTTATTTGGGTTAGTAGGGGGCTCTGAATTAAATTACCCTATTATCCAGTCTTCTATCTAGCCACTATTAGTGCAATCTCATACCTAGAATTCTCAAGTGCTTTCCTGCTTTCCTGCGCCTTCTTCAGCAACAGCCCACTTACAAAAAATCTAAGGACCCTTGGTTTGAGATCACTATTAGTGTTGTGACGCAAGAAACAAATTTTAAAAAATATTTATTTATACAGGGTAGCCCACTCAGCTCAAAAGGTATAGTTTCTACCATAATAAAAATAAATAAATGAATAAATAAATAGGATTTAGCAGTGGCATTTCCAGTGTCTCTTCATCCACTGTAATTCCAATTGGAATTTAGAAGTTGATCGGATGTTTGAGGGAGGAAAGCCAGAGAACCTGAAAAACCCTCGAACCACAGGAGAGAACCAACGAACAACTCAACTCACAACACCCAGCTCGTCGGGACTCGAACCCAGGTCATATTGGTGAGAGGCGAGTGCTCTCACCGCTATGCCACCCATGCTTTCCCATAATAATAAAACCTTTGCATGACGACATTTAGAAACTACCTATTCCCAAAACTAACAGCAAGAACAAAGTTGATACCAGTCATCTTGGTGAGGTGAGAGCACTCTCACTGCTATGCCAATGTACCTGTGCTTCTCAAATAATATGTACTGTATGATTCAATGGCTAGCTGGAGTTATGGGATTTAGAGGAGGCAAACACTTAGAAAATTTATAAACGGGGTTCTTGCTGAGGTAACCACTTAAAATTCAAGGACTATTCAAGGAGTATACAAGGACCCAAAGATGAATTTTCAAGGAGTATGTTCAGCTAACTTTGCCAAGCTTTTACATGGTGGTTGCACACGGCCAACTTTCAGATTTTCCAATCTTTCTGACTAGATCTATTTCAGAACCATGCAAGCAATGATCAAAGCAAAAATTTTCAAGGAGTTTCACTAAAATCATGAAATTCAAGAGCTTTTCAAGTGCCCTTGAAAACGTGAATTAAATTCAAGAAGTTTTCAAGGAGTTTAAGGAGTAGCACAAACCCTGTATAGAAAAAAGCATAGAGTGGCAGGTTTACATTTTCAAAGATTATTATTTTGAAGTTTTGGTGTTTCACATATTGCTCCAACTAGAGTGCAAACAATATAACTGTAAAACTTTAGTAATACTAAATAGCACGATTTCATACAAATTCCATTGTTTTCTTTGTACTATTTAGTAATTAGTGTTTCAAGGATTAATCGTTTGCACTCTACCAGCGAATCCCTACCAGCAAATTCAATCACTTTTTAGATATGTGCTTCTCATTGAAAAGCATTGAAAAGTTATAAAAAGACACCCTGACAGCTGAGTCTATAAATTTCCTTCGGCGTCCCATATTGCCTTGATTAAAACAATAGAATTCAAGATGGCCACTAGCCTCCGTTGCAGACGTCTTGTGGTGTTTGGTTCGGATCCCCTGCAACAAAGGCTAGATGGCCACCTTTTCAGTAAAAAGGTCAATTCTGGGAATTCCCACTCTCAAAAGGCAAAACAACAAAATAAATGAGTTATAGAAAGGCCAGAGACCAACTGAAATCTTTTTATTATAACCTTGCTTTATAAATTTAATAACATGGCATGTCGTTTATTAGAGTCAGACGTATTTGGCAATCAAATAGCTAAAGGTTATAGTTCAGCATGAGGTAGTTTAGCAGATCGTGTGCCACGCACAGGGCATGTCCTTGATCGAAGTGTCATAGAATGATGGGAATTAGGAACAAGTTTCTTGGTTTTTCTTCTTCCTTTTGGTGATGTTGGCTGGGAAGGTGCTGGCGAGATAAATGATATGGGACTGTCTGAAGGAGACTGGCATGGGGTGTATCTTCCTGTCTGACTTCTGGGCCTAGAAAAAAAACACAAGAAAAAGAGATAGACCTTTTTAGCTTATGTTTGCTTATTTTAGACCACAAGTTATTCCCTTGAAATTAAGATTCTTTGTTTGAGTTGCATCCATATTCATGTGTCTTCTCATTCCAATTTTTTACGACAAAGAAATATACTAGAATTTGAACTAATTTTGAATTTATTACTATTTTGCATAATTTAAACAAAATTTTTGGGGAATGACATGGTCTGTAATGAGAAAGCAATGCTTTTAAGCTAAAGGATCTATCCATTAGTACAAAATTACCATAACAGGTGTAGTTTGACTACTACCTAGCTTTCCATACCTTTCCATACTATAGACCTCTGCTCTATAGAGGAAAGTCAGAGGTTTGAAGCATTCTTATCTCCTTACTCCAGACATTGCAAAAGCCATTTTGGCAAGTTAAAGATGCTTGCAATATTATACAAGACTCAAAAAAGCTAGTTTGCTGTAAGCCAGGTCTGTGTAGAGTCGCATTGAAATGGGTAAGATGGGTCTGGGAGAGAAGAGGAGACAGGAAAGAACGAGGATATCAGTCCCTCCCCTAGTTTTTGCAGCATCTCATTTCCCTCATATCAAGTCCCTTCCCCATGGTAACACTCCTTTGGCCACAAGGCAAGCAAACAAAGACTTGTTAACCCTTTCATGGTTAGGTATTTACCTTAGCGATCTTCGACCAGTAGATACATTAGGAGTACTCTTATTAGCAGATGTTTTTCCTAAAGCAGACACATCTAAAGAGTGTCTCTTTATCATGGACCGTGTTAGTGGAGGAGAAAAGAGAAAATTTGTCGATGGTGTTGAGACATCGTCTGCTTGCTTTTCACCTGACTTTGCAACAACATCTGCAGTCTGCGGTGTTCTGAAAACAGACGGAGGTGAAAAGGCGAAGGAATCCCTTTCTTCATCATCTGCATGACCTTTGACCTCCTTTGCATCTTTTGAATGAGATGGTAAACCAAGGGGAGAGGTGTAAGGTGATTTTGGTGGGGTCATTGTGAGGCTTGCATCAGTGCTTTCGGGTAACTTGGTTGTTTTTGGTGTTAGATGAGGAGAGATTTTTGGTGACGGTTCAGGAGATGGCTGTTTTGGAGACCCAGATTGTTTTGGTGGAGATACTTGTGCATGGGAATAGTCTTCTGGTGCAGATTCTGTGTTTTCTGACAGACTGGATCCTTGCAGCACAGACCTTTGCAGTGATTGCTGCTGCAAAATAACAGAGGGAGAAAAGGAGTCATAAAGTGTGGTATAAAGACTTATCTAAATGTAAGACTATATTGCCTTTCCATGCAATTATTCACCTGAAACCAATCATGAAATAAGTGAGCAGACAAAAAGAAACAATTCATGAATAGAGGCTTGTAAGAAAGGGAGGGAGAATCTAAGGAGTGGAATACAGACACCAAATCAGTTAAATATTTTTAGGTAATTACAACCACTGACCCTAGTAGGCTCTATTGGCGATTTCCATCATGTCGAACTGAACAGTTCGAGCAGCCAGTTCTCAAATGGTACTCGTCAGTTCTTATTACATTTTAGAACTTGGTTAACCAGTTCTATAGAACTGACATGTACCATTTGAGAATTGGCCATTTGGACTGGTCAATTTGAATTCATGGAAAGCGCCCTAAGACTTACGCATACAAATATTCAAAACAAAGGATTAAATAATTTTAAAAAATGTCACTCACCTCGTTGGATGTTGTTCGAGGTGAAGACCTACAATTTCCAAAGAAAGGAGGAGGAATGTTAGGATGATTTTCAAAATCTGAAAATTGCATCCTAGTTATGTGTGATATTAGTGGAAAGAAGAAAGGAAAGACGGCGGAAATTGAAAGGATATATTATTGGCAAAATGAAGGAGGTAGAGAGAATGGAATAAAAAAAGGCAGAGAGGAGAGGGAAAGGGATGTATGCAAAGAGGGATGAAAAGAAGAAAGACAGAAAAAGGTACCATAAAAAGGAAATGGACAGAAGAGAGGCACAGAAGGGAATTAAAACAAAATAAACAGGGGCGGCGGAATCAGGGGGCACATGCCCCCCTACAAAATATTGGTTCTCAGTCATAGCTTTACAGCGCATGTGTCTACAATCAAACAAAACAGCGGTCATTATCACATAGCATTAATTCAGCTTCCACCACCCCTGATAAAGGTATGGTAAAATAGAGAAGTGGCAGTAAGCCAGATGCAAGCACAAAAGGTTACATGAGAATGGACATAGAAAGAAGAGAGAAAAGCAGAATAAAGAAATTGTTCAAAACTTGCCTCATTACTGGTCCCTCACTATCAGTTTCTGATAATCCAGCCATTTGCAATGCTTCCCGTTCTTGTACAGTTGAACCTATTTTTTCAGACTTTTCTTGATTCTTTCTTATCAAAACCTCTTCTTCACTGTCCTCAGCTATGAGATAGAATGACAATACTCTGGCTCTGTTTATCTTGGCTACAAACATCTTTTGTTCATTGTGCTTTATATGCATGGGTACATCGAAATTAGTAAATTTCTGATGCTTCAAGATTTTGGGTTTAATAACTTTTGCGTAGCAACCTCCCAAACATCTCAAAAATTATAAAGAAATGAATGGTTACTAGGGATGCCTTAAAAAGCCTACATTATTTGTTTTTTTATTACCGCCAGTCAAAAACATAATGGTAAAGACTGGAATATGTGGACCACATGGCACTAATGAAATACATGAAGATATAGAAATATAGATAAGTTATAGTGCTTGGGAACGAGGTTATTCCGGGTGAAAGCCCTTGGAATTAAATTCGGAAAAATTAATTTCCGAACTCGCTGGGAATCGAACCCACGACCTTCGGAATTGTACTACTGATGCTCTACCAGCTGAGCTAGAGTTTGGAACTTAATTTTTCCGAATTTAATTCCAAGGGCTTTCGCCCGGAATAACCTCGTTCCCAAGCACTATAACTTATCTATATTTCTATATCTTATGGTAAAGACTGATTAGTATTGATTGATGGCAGCAAAAAAACCTAATTTCAGCCTGCAGCTTGAAGCTACAGAGTTCACAAGTTTATGAAAATAGCAGGAAAGTTACCTATGATGTTATCACTTTCATCCAGTTCATAACTGCTGTAATCTTCCTCTTCATGTACCATTTCTTCGTCTTCGACGTCACTGTTACCCCTCAGGTCAACTACAGCTGCTGTTATCTGAACTTCTGGTTCTCCTTCCTCTTCTTCTTCTGATTTTGACAGTTCTAAATGAAATTAGACTTGTTTTAAATTTACATGAGATTTACACACTTGTGACTTCATTCAACGACTTCAACCTAGACATTGACATATTTATATGTGAGTACTTAGAGTTTGTGAAATTTTTCTCCCTTGATTCAAGGGTCTTTCTTTGGGTTTTCTAGTTTTCAACATAATAGACCCCTTGCACTGAGTCACGAGAGGAATTGTTCTGGGGGACAAAACAATGGATGTTTTTGTATAAGAAAAGATATGGCCTATTGTTTTGTCCTCCAGAACAATTCCTTTAGGAAATCAATACAAGAGCTCTATATGAGCTTCTTACTGTATTTTAGTTATTGAATCCATTCCAGTAAAGTCTCTTGGTTATAAAATAACAAACCCTTTTTGACTTATTGGAATATCAACTGTTAATGTCCTTGAATGAGAAATGGTCACTCAAAATATCACATATGCACTCATAGCTTTGCTACTTGGCCAATAGTTCTTTTTTCAAACTATTTCCCATCCTTGGACATTATCATACAATATGCCAGGGTTTTTTTACACTAAATATTTAAAGCTTAAAGGTTTACTGCTGGATGAGTTAGGTGGTATATTGACCACAATGAGACCATACTAAAATAATGTATAGAACTGGGCTAAAAAAGTGAACTTAATTAAAGTTTACGTTTACTTAGGCTTACCAAGCCTTAAAGATGCATCAGCATCCTGCTCTAATGGAGAAACAACTGCCTCCTTAAAACCAACACTCTTGACAGATGTTGTTGTTTCCATAGCAACATCTTGCGGTTCTGCAGGCATCTCCTTAAAAGTGACCGCACTTGCTTTGGAGCTGGAGTATGAATGAATGAATGAGAAAAATGAAATTATGTAGCAAAAGGAATGGGCACCTAGCAGTGAAGGTAATGGGCTGCAAAGGTGTAATAATATATATCAGGTAAAAACAATTATGTAAATGAGTTTGATGAAATATTTAAATCAAGGGAAGAACTGATGGACAGCTAGATAGAGATCGACGGATGGCTGGCTGGCTGGATGGATGGATGGATTGATGGATGGATGGCTGGATGGATGGATGGATGGCTGGATGGATGGATGGATGGATGGNTGGATGGATGGATGGATGGATGGATGGATGAAAGGATGGATGGAACAGAAAGGGATGGATGGATGGATGGATGGACGGACGGACGGGTGAATAGATACCTCGTTGGTGATGGTGAAACATCTTCAGTTGCAAACCTAAACAACAACAAAAATTCACAAACATTAACTGACTATATCAGCTTACTGGCTATAACATTTACAAAGTAAGTACACATTTAAAGTACTATTAAGCTACTACCTGATACGTCTGCTTGGTGTTTCATGAGGATAATCCACAGAGTCTTTGCTTTGACTTTCAAAATCTGACATCAAAGGGAGTGAATTTTGTTTATATTTCAATATACAAACTGTAAATCAGTAGTTCAGTTTTGAATTCTTGGTTGCAGCTCAGGTTCGGCCTTGATATTGCGTAGAATATTCTTGTGTTTCAATGAAACTGTGCAATCTTTACTTTATTGTAAGGTTGTTATTTGTGAACATTTTATTGTCAGAGCCTGAACGTAATTAAGGCAAAGTTAAAATCAAGTCCAACCGGCCAGCGTTTTTGCCTAGCAACAGTGTGGGGGAGCTTGTTGTGGTTCAGGGGTATTGGCAGGGTTTGCATTGTGGCAGCTTTGTCGTTGTATTGTGGTTTGGCCAAGCGCTCATGGAAAGATATCTCCCTCCAACCCACCTCTCAGAAGTGTAAGACCGCGGTAGGTGTGATGGGTGCCAGGTGGGCGGTTGACTGTGGCCTGGTTGCCATGATTACCTCTGCTAATGGGTTGGTTAGGCGCGACCATCCCTCGCAACCTGGCACAACCCAAACTTATTACTACGATGAGTTTTAAATGCTGAAATGAGTGTTTTACGACTTGGAAAAGTGTTTATTAGCTGTTACTAAAAATGAGTATATAATATACCTAATGTATATCCTTGCTTCACTTGAGGTTTATCAGAAGAGTCACGCCTCAGTGGGGAAGATGATGGTGATGTACGAGGTGAGGAGCGACGAACAACACGTCTAACCTGTATTACAAAGGTGAAAAATCATCATACAAAGAAATATTCTTATAATATATTGATTCATAAAAATATCTATCCAGGCACATGGATGTAACTTTTATTTTTCATGGGAGAACAACTAAATATTTTTTTAAATGATTAAATTAATTAATCAAACTGTAAATTTATTAATGTATGGTTTAATCATGAAAAGATGTGTAGCTTTTCTAAGATGTGTACAACTTGTTCAACTCAAAACACACAATCGTATAAAATAATTGTGATTTTTGTCATCAATCAAGCACTATAAGCCAAACATGCATAGTTTCGAGATGACAAAACTCTCGATCAAACTTGTAGAGAATAGCGATACTCACACATGTCACTCTTGTGCGCTACTGACCTTTAATATTGATTGAGGGGTTGAAGACACACTGATGGATTCATGGTGACTCAGTGATCCTTGCCTTGAGGAGTGCTGAAAAGAAATTTGATCAAATAACAATGATTATTGTAAGGAATACCAGTCTTTTCGATCCTGTTCTTTTCTATCCACCTATATACACATTCAATCCATGTATATAAATAAAGCACATAAACAAGTCCTATATGCTGTGTACATCCAGAATGTAAAAGAGTATTGTTAAAAAAATTGTCATGAGTACAGACTAAAAGATTATGATCAAAAAAGAAATCGAAACTATATTTGTTGGACTATGTGTTTGGCTGGGCATATGATGATTATATACATACATCGGTGTCACAGACATTTTCAAAAAAAAAAGTCTTCAGGACAGGATTTGTTACAAAAATAAGTTCTGAATGTTTCTGGAAAAGGTTACAAGAGGTTAATGGTTTTAATGAGCAGCTAAAGCTGGAAATGTCACAATTTAAAGTATAAAGTTTTAGATTATCAGCTATATTAATGAATGAATAATGCCAGGCTTGAGTTACCTTCTCTATGCGAGGAGTGGTCAGCAAAGTTAATGCATCGGCACCTGAATAAAGTTGTTTTCTCCTGAAAAAATCACACAGGTACAATTAATTTTCATTGTGAAAAAAGAAAGCCTCAGTAGAATGACTACCAACCTTTTCTTGTCCAGAAACAATGGAGTGGACAGTAAAGATTGAGAACTTTTGGGAGGCTCTTCATGCTGCAGAGAAAGTGGGAATGAAATGGTACATATATTTTGATATATGTTATAACTAGCACTAATACAACAGCCACCAATATATCATTACCAACACAACCAACAACAGCTGCAATACAAAATACAACCAATACAACATGACAAACACAGGGCCCGCAATAGCTACATTAATGCCAACATCAACCAATAAAACAGACAGCCACAAAACAACATATTAACTGGCATTAACCAACCATATCAACCAACAACAGATACAACCACAATAAAAAACTTTAAAAACCAAGACCTATACAAGTGGGCTTTAGATCAGAGAATAGCTACAAGACATCAGTTTACATATTTCAATTACTGAGTATGTGCACCATAGTGTAGAAATTCTTGTTGCCATATCTCTAAGTACACAACACAATTTTTGCAAAAAGTCGTTGTTGAGTATGAGTATGGGTATAATAGGTAAAGTCCAAATTTGAAGCTCAGTAATACCAATGCTAAGGCAACATCTGCCCACCAACATGGATTAGTTACCACAACAATGAACAACTCACCACTACTTCAGGTTTCTTCAAAGAAGCAAACACCATCCTGTGTGAATCACTTAAAGAAAAGAAAACACAATTACGAAATATACAAAACAAAAACAAAACGAAACGAAACTGGCAACAAATAAGGAATTGATGAAGGACAATTTTTTTTACTATTTACAATATATAGTATTACATTTTTAATATAATACAATGTTATTTATTTAGTTAGGGTTTTGTTTACAGATTGTTAGACCAATTACCTTGAAATACTTGTTGTTCTTGGTGTTATTGGAGTTCCTACAAATGCACCAGATCTTCTTCTCTGTGGTGTATCTGGGGCCCTGAAATAATCGACACAATAGTAAAGGGTTTGATCTGTGAGTTAGCCGTGTCCTGACTTTGATCAGCCAAGAGTTTGTTTCAGGGTTTGATTTGTGAGTTAGCTGTGCCGTGACTTTGATCAGCCCAGAGGTTGTTTCAGGGTTCTATCTGTGAGTTGAGCCATGCCCTGACTTTGATCAGCCCAGAGGTTGTTTCAGGGTTCTATCTTTGAATCAGCTGTGCCCTGACTTTGATCAGCCCAGAGGTTTTTTCAAGGTTCAATAAAATGTCAATTTTCAAGACAGTTATACCAACCTGGCCTCTACAACTTTTTCCATGACAGAATTCAAGATGGTAGCATGGGAAACAGGGCGTCCTTCCTTAACATGATGAACAACAGTAGAAAGAGGCTTTGGTCGAGGAACTGGTGATAAGAAAAAAATCAAACAATTAAGACATTCAATGCATAATTAGATTAATTATAGTCCATTAACACATTCTTACAATTTAAATGCTTAGTCACACTTCAGATTAGATTAAATTGACCAGTGGTGAGTTGGACACAGCCACCTCTAGCATGGCAAGGGACTCTTAGAATAGGATTATCAAGGTATATCTACCTGAGGCATATATTGGGAACCCTGGATTATGCGCAAAATAAGGCTGATCAATCAAAGGGACAAGCTCACGGATCGAACCCTGAAACAACCTCTACAATTACACAAAAACCGAACCAAACAATATTAAGGTGCTTTACTATGGGGCAATTCTTATTCCATACCTTCTTTCAATGTTGTTGGTTTATGAGTCACTCCCTTGTCTGGTGCGAAGATCAGCTTCTGTTGCATCCTGGGTAAGCATCGTACATAGCCATCAACGATGGCATTACGCACTTTGGTTCTTTCTAGGATAGCAGGATTTTGTTCATTCTGGAATTCCGGCAAATACGTTCAGCCTTAGTAAACTATATATTTCATCAGGTTAAGTAAACTATATATTTCATCAGATTAAGTAAAAGAATGTAAAAGTTGAGGTCCATACCATAGTGCACTGCTTGAGTTCCTCGTTAAACCTCACACCTTCTACATATCTTCCCCTTTGAAGGTAGTACATCACTAGCAGTTCCCTGGCTGCATCAAAACTCTCTTGTTGTAGAAACTGCACAAAACATTCCTAGAACATAAACATCTCTGTCAATAATGATTTTATACCTAAGAAAAGCACAAGAACCACTGAGAACTATTAAAGTGCACATGAACTCTTCGACAATACTTTCAGTACTGATTCTGCATAAAGTAAATAGTTGATTGGTAAAATATTTCTTGATTTGAGTGATGCGTCTTTAAGTTATGAAGGTTTATACTTCCAATATGTTAACGATGATGACGTCAGGTAAGGTATTTGAGTGTTTTTGTTGTAACTAGTAATACTAAATGCTGGCCATTTTGAAAATAAAAATTGTAAATAGCTTTCATGTAAACCATGAGTAAAATAATGATGCTTTTTAAATACTGTTTCTATGAACCAGTTCGATTTTGTATATTTGATTAAGCCTTAATAGACTTCACACTCATTAGCATATTGGAAGTATAAACCTTCATAACTTAGAAACGCATCACTCAAATCAAGAAATATTTTACCATTCAACTATTTACTTCGTGTAGAATCAGTACTGAAAGTATTGTCGAAGGGTTCATGTGCACTTTAAAGAAATAGAAAACTTGCGTGCGCGCTGTGTGCAGTCATAAAGTAAGTGGGGGACGTTTGCAGAACACGAGAGAAGTGTTAGGAGAAGCACGATGCGTAGCGGAGTGCTTCTGGACACTTCTTAAGTGTTCTGCCAATCCCCAAGTGCTTTATAACTCCACACAGCACAGCATAGCAAGCAAGTTTTAATTTCTTTCATAAAATACAAATTACAATACCGTTATTTTAGATAGGAATGACGCAATGGAAAGTGCACACTCATGCAATGTGCTCTCATAAAGCACATGCTCCCAACCAATTTATTAGAATGTGACATTCGTAACAGTTATTTTAAAAAGTCAAATATATCATATATAAGATACCTAATCAAGAGTTAATAAAAACGATGGCTGTGAATCATTAATATGATAACACAAATTAGATTTAAAGGTGGACATAATGTTATAAACATTGCCATGGTGGTGTTCATATAATGTGCCAACCATTTCAACAATAGGTTTGATTATTCTTGATGTTTTATTGGATTTTATAAAATAWTTGGGATACTACGCGCGCTATGATTGGTCGAAAACCATGTTTGATGAGAGTATCAAAACAYGCTATCGTCATTTTTAATCTATCGCGCGCGCTCATTGGTCAGTTTGAATGAGACGGCACGTAGGGAGAATTTACTTAGACTTTGTTTTTTTCCGATCTTTTCGCGCGTTTGTTATTTTATAAAACAAATCAAAAACAGTTTTCTGTATTTGATACTCTGATCAAAACACTTGGGATGTTGGGAGAACGCTCGAGAAGCTGGAAACCACTCCGCTACGCGTTGTGGTTTCCTACGCTCCTCTCGTGTTCTCCCAACATCCCATGTGTTTTGATCAGAGTATCAAACACGGAAAACTGTTTTTGATCTGTTAAGTCCAATACATTACTGGTCGGCAATTTAAATTACAGCCAACCAAAACATATTAATATGTCACTGTACTTCCACCTATAATCAATAATTAATAATTAAACTTGAAATTAATTACCTCTTCCACGTCATTCAAAGGCAGCTGCATTACTTTGCTGATATTTCCACCTAAAAAATTATGACAATTAACTAACATTACTAAAACCAAGCAAAAAAATAAGTGTGTTTCCTGTTGCATGAGAAAAATAATTGGGGTTGGTAGGTCAGATTTTTTTTACTGATACAACAGTAGAAATGAGCCTACTGGGAACCCTGTGGTGCATTTGGAAATGAAAATGATATTAGGGTCGGCAAAAATCCGCAAGAAAATTAGGGTCGGTCGTGCAACAGCAAACATTTATTTTTTTGTTTGGTCTAAGTATAGTAGCATATTCAATATGAGTGGCTGTTTTGTATAAGACATACTGTAGAAACTTGAGCAATTTTTTTTCAAAGATAAGAGTGAACTAGCAAAGAAAATCCATGTTAAAGTTTATGCAAATGAACATGATTTTATATCAGAATTATATAAAACTCTTTGCGGTCATGATTTCTAATGCAAGTGTTTTCTGTATGAATTATTAATGAGTTTGTCAACATTAATAATCTTTTAGATTAGAGTTTTAAATAAATGTCAAATTTAATATAATCTTACTTTGTTGGCAACCAGTAAAAAAATGAAAAAGAAGCTCAGCATTGATGGCAGGGTCTCTATGATTACGCTGAAAGGCAGACATCAAGAAATAAATTGGGATGAAATTGAGCAAGAAAAATTATGATAATATGAGATATGGGAATGTGATAGTTATGACTGCTTTAAAGTAATTATAAAATATAATGCTAATGTCAACTTACCTGAAAGTTGAAGGCTTCTGTTACCAAACTGAAAAGGAATTTTTAAAATTAGTTTTAGTTTTAATAATTTATTAACATATTAATAATATATCACATAAGATTAATTTATGAATTATAACACCTTTTCTTAGGCCATGATGAAATGAAAGTGATGGATAGATGGATGGATTGGATGGATGGATGGATGGATGGATGGATGGATGGATGGACAGAAGAGTGGATGAATGGGTGGTTGTGTGGGTGAATGGGTGGTTGTGTGGGTGAATGGAAGCATGGATGAATCCATGGAATGCAATGAAATAGATAGATTGATAGAAAATGTTTACTGAACATAAAAAATAATACCAACAAGATCAAACAGAGTAAGGCAAGTTACTTATTTACTTACCCATTAGCCACCAAGACAGTCAAATGAAGGCGGACATCTTCTGGTGAGTGCATAGTGGGGTGAACGGTGTTGATAAAATACAGGACTTTCTGGAATTGTCCTGGGAATGGATAAAATTGTTTTATATATTTAGCAGGTATGTCAAATATTGAGTGAATAAGATAATAATGGTGAGCAACAACCCTTTAGATGTATGTCTTTGGGTTTAAACACTACCCACTTGCCAGCAAAAGGCACCGTTCCGTAAACCCGCAACATAACTAATAAAATAAAATCATGCAGTCAACTGCTTTAGCTATTTTTACCCATAAGGTATGTCCATTTTGGTCCAGTCATGTAGCCTTAAGTTGGTTGATAACAACATTTTTTTGAATTGACTGTATATGACTTGCACTAACCTTGGAATAACAAGGTCTTGATAATGTAATTATTCTGCCATGGACCTATTTCTACCGTAGCTAAAGCAGGGTCGTCAAGTATGTTGACAGCATTCTGGAAAAAAGGGAAGTTAGACATTTTATGTAATTCTCTTGTGATGAGCAATGATTGTTGAATTGGATAGATAATGTTCAGCCAGAATTTGAACATCTGTTTAGTGAAATCTTTGCCTTGCCAATCTTTGATATGCTAATCGCACTTCTCAATCACATGCGTGAAATTGTACAATTTGCCATCATGACGAAGAAGTATGACATTCCATAGGCACGTGCAGTTTTTTGTGTTTTCCAACAATGTTAGGAAACATTTGATTGGCACCCACCAAAACTCTATTACGTCTTGGAAATTTTTTTCGCAATTATGCTTGTGTGTTTGAGAAAAGCTGTAATACATGACTGTGTGGCACTGAAGAAGAAACTAAACTATGATGACATGGAGACCAGTTGCATTTAGTAGTACCAGTAGCTAGGAAATCAAACAAACCTCAAAATCTTTATGGTCCAAAAACCAAAAAGCTCTAATCATCTTGGTTACACTGTAAGGCAGGTCAAAAGCCTTGGCAAACCGGTCAGCTACCTGATGAATGTACAGCAAATAGATATAGTGATCAACTTGCACTGTATGGTAATGTGTTGGCAAGTGGTTGCATTGGTAGTTCAGGTCAGAATTGATCAGTACATGTTGTACAATGATAATACATATTGGGTAGGTATTCAGTAATCTAACAGTAAGACGTTAGTAGTGTAATTGTATAAGTGTCAGCAAGAGGTCCATAACAAGTCATTATGGAAAGATGTCAGTGGTAAGTGGTCAGCCTTATGATAATTATTGATTTGATCAAAATTTTAATATCATTCTGATTTTCTTTATTAATTAATAAATAAATAAATAAATAAATAAGCTTCAATATGTGGGTTCAACATCCAACCAAGTTAAAGTTTGCTTTCGAAATCACAAATCAAATATGCTCACCAACAAAACTAACTGTGAGGTAGCTATTCACTAAATAGTAGTCCTCATCAACTTAGAAAACTCATTAATAATTCATGAAGAAAACACAATAGAAATCATGACCATGAAGGTGATTTTATATCGGATAAAGATTCGTCTTCATTTGCATAAACTTTAACTTGGATTTTCTCGATCCAACTTGGTTCAATTCGTAAAGAATTCGGTACAATATGAGAACATACATCTGGAGTTTTCTAAGCCGTTTAATAAACTCGCAGATCGTGTTTTATCGTGTTTTATCGGGTCTAAAACTACTCGGCTACGCCTCGTGTCTTATACCCGATAAAACACTCCTGCTCGTTTATTAAACAGTACTTAGTGAATTCACATTCATTTGCATAGAGCAAATTATTGACTTAGATAATATTGATTCTAAGCTCTTGTCTCGAGAGGCCTATTGGGCCATGCAGTTACGTACGTTACGTCCCAATGGCCTCGACAAGAATTTAAATCTAAACGTAAAATTCAGTTTTCATTCTAGTGTTTTTTCTATATTACAATAGATTGCTGCAACCTTCCTTGTTATTCCATCCCCCATGGTGGTTGCACCTTTCACTTTTGTTTCTTTATATTTCATTATCTTACAAAAGACTGATGTAGCCTGTGATCCATGCTTTTCGTCTGAATTTACTGGTTACATCATCCTTTTGTTCTTATGCCCTTTATATACTAGTTGTTTGGCTATTCATTCTTTACTTTTTTACTTTTTATCCTGTATTATATATATCTTTATTTTTTCTGAAGAAGGCCGAATGGCCAATTAAATGTTAAATACAATTTTTTTGGAACAGTCAGAAGTTGCCTGTTTTCTCTTTTTACTTTTATATACTAGAATAAATAAATATATATATATAATATATCTAGGAAATACTGTATGTGCTTCAGCATGTATACTTACATTAAGGCTGTTTAACTCTTCATTTGTACCACAGATGTCTAGAAGCAGGTAGAATACCTAACCACTGTTAAGGTCAATAATATCTTTTATTTTTATTTTTAAATTGTTCTACTTCTTTTATATGCCTTAATACTGCTTTGAAAAAAAATATGAATTTTAATTCATTAAACCTTTGAGCAACTACATACATCATGTATATGGACCTCATAAAACTCATTAATATGCAGTCACATGAAAAAAACACTTCAGTCAGATCAACAGAAATCATAGCTCTACAGATATGAAGGGCTGATGCAAATCCTGTTAATGTGGATAATTATTATAATTATTCACTTCTACTATATGATTATTGGTCTTTAGAAAAACACAGTGAAAAGGATACTATTGAATGCTTTGTCTCTGGTGAGATTTTATCCAGAAGATACAAGGTGGAGAGTGACTGAAAGACAAATACATTTTATTGTGATTATAAAATACCCCGGGGGTACTCCAAACATGGTATGGTTTTCAGCGATTTTACTCTGGAACAGGGTATATGAAATTACGCTCTGTCCTCTCTGGAATAGGGTATCTATTTTCACAATACAGGAACTGGGCATGGTTTTCAGTCATCTCGCTCTGGAACAGGGTATAAATTTCAGCAATTTTACTCTGGAACAGGGTCAGGGTTCAGAGGGCTCAGGGGCACATCCCTACCCTAAACGGGCAAGAGTACCCCCCCCCCCCCGGTAAAATTCACAGTCAGTGTCAGTGATACTTCTGTCAGTGATACTTCTGAACACACTATCAGAGACAACTAGTTATCGATTTAATATTTTGAATAATGCCTGATTACTAAATCTTTAACCGACGGCTAGCTAGTTATGCTCTTGTGATCTGGCCAACAGCACACCTCAGCCGTTGTTGTCAACCAACGTGTTTATTGCTCATAATGTACCCCCAATTTATTCTCATGGAAAATAAATGTAAATATCAATTTTTTCCTATTTATGTTTAAGTTATGGATGACTTACGTGGAGGCTAGATGGTGGATAGTGTTCTTTTCCAGAAGTAGACACCCACAGACCATCAAACTGTGAGATTATTCTGTCAATCATTAGGCCACCAGATCCCAACTCACTGAAGAGACAGACACACAATCAAAGTGAGACTTAAACTTAATCCATAAAGTTCTTGTTATAAGTTCACCCTATAGTATCTCTTTGACTTATAGTGCTCCTATATCTTGAAACTGATCTTAAAATTGGTTTGCTAGGTTCAACTAAAGTTGTGGGAGCTGTTTTAGAAAGACAGCACATGAGAGTGACATAGAAACCTTACTGCGCATGACATTGATGTACAAATCTCTATCGAAGTATAAAAGTCCATTTTGAGTTGTGTGTGGGTTCTCTAATTTGACCAGATGTTTGCCAGTTATTCATTTTGGAGTTTTTGAAGGTGTTCAATAAACTCACAGATACTGTTTTATCAGATCTAATACCACACAGCTACTGTATACCTAATGCTTTTAAAACTGATAAAAACCTCCCTGCTGAAAACACTACCTTCCACAATGTTGTAGCTCAGCTCTCCTTGAATCATAGAACTTTTTGAATGAAGAACTTGAGTACAAAGCATCACTGTAAAAAGAATTGTTTACATGCAATCAAAAAATCCATCATAACCCATAGCCCCCCCCCCCCAACCCCCACAGAGGATAAGAAGCATTCAAAGGATCTACCATAGATGCAGAGTGGTTTTACGCCAATTAATTCAAACGATCATGTTTCATCAACTTAAGAAACTTGAATTGGGCTAGAACTGATAAATACCTTTGATTGAAGGATGAATCTTCGTCATCTAAACGAATAAATAAATCATATATTACTGTATTATATAATAGCACAAGGGAGAAGTGTTGTCCACTAATCATTGGAAAAATGGCTAAGCTAGAAAATACCAAAACCACACCATTTCTGTGCAGTACTGACAGTGAGGATGTGTGCAACATTAATTTTTAGAAATTTCGACAAAAATTGCATGTTTATGTCAGTTCAAGATGGGCCATGCTTGTTATGTGACTGCGTCAGCGTGTTGAATGACTTTAATCTGTTTGTTAGTTGTTTCTCGATGGTCAAGTGATTACACTTTTAATAAAATGTATCTGAAACAATCCATTTGCTATAATTACAGTGAAAGAATTTGAGGATACTTAGTGCCCAGAGGGTAGCCGAGTGTTGTCTTATTTATCATACTTCTTAAATCTTTTACTATTTCCTATATTTTTTCTTGACAAATCTTGTAACTACAAAATCATGTGAGCAAGATAAACTCGTATTGTTGGTATGGTATTGTATTGCCTTACCGCTGTATTCAGGGAGTAGTCCATGACGTATCAACCAAAGTAACAAACTTAGGTACTGAAACGAATTGATAACTAAAGTTCAGATTACTATATGCCTCGCACAAGACAATTATTATTTTAATATCATGGTGTTACCTGTAATTTCAAGTCAAACACTTATTAACAACATAAATATTTCTACACAACTTCTTGAATCCAGATAAAATCATGTTAAATTTACTGTATCTTTTAAATATACCAAATAATGACCAGTAACTAAGAGCATAAATTTTCTTTTCTTACCATTTCCAAGATGCTAACTACTTGGAATTTTGCTTCAAGATCCTTGACACCTGCAAAATGACACAGCACCAAGATAAAACTATGAGGCAAAGACCTATCGACGGTTTTAAGCTTTCGAGTGATTAATACATAATAATGTGGGAAGCACAGGTGGTGTAGTGGTGAGAGCAATAGCCTATTACCAACGTGACCTGAGTTTGATTCCCAGATTCAGCATTGTATGTGAGTTAAGTTATTTGTTGGTTCTCTCCTGTGCTTCAAGAATTTTTCTTCAGGTTCTCTGGTTTTCCTCCCTCCTCAAAAACCAACTTGTCCTCACTTTAACTAATAATATTTGCTAATGATATTTATTAACAACAGACCTTGATGCGAGCTTGGTGCAGACTGTGATATCAGTGCTTGAAAGACAGACTTCAGGTGACCAAGATGTACTGCCATGTCATCGAGCATCAGCAACATCTGGTCGTCAGGAGTTCCACCACCTCCGTCAAATAAAGGCACAGCTGGAGAGAAAACAAACAGCAAGAACAGTGAATAAAAAAAAAAAAAAGAAAAAGAACAGTGAATATATTAGCAGTGAATCTTGGAAGCAAACATATACAGTAAATAAATGGATGAATGGGATTGGTGGATAAATGGATGGATGGATAGATGGAAAGATGGATGGATAGATGGATGGATGGATAGATGGATGAATGGATGAATGGGATGGTTGATTGGATGAATGGACGGATGGAAAGATGGATGGATAGGTGGATGAATGGATGAATGGGATGGTTGGATGGATGAATGGATGGATATTTGGATAAATGGGATAAATTGATGGACGGCTGGATGCATGGATGGTTGGTGTGTGAAGTGGATGGAAAAAGATGAATAGATGACACGGTTGGGTGGGGGGATAGAAGCATGGATGGATGGATGGAAGGATAAATGGGATGGAAGTTAGGATGGATGGAAGGATGGGTATTTGGATGAATGGGATATATGGATGGATGGATGAGTGGTTAGTTTGATGGCTGAATGGACTAATCAAACTAATTATTAATAAAATGATAAAAACACAATAGATAAATGGCTACTAAGTGGACACACTTACATAGTTGGTCCAGTTGTTCTTTTATCTCCACCACTTTACTCCATGACCAGTCAAGAATTACCCTTAAATTACATCCTGCGTGGGTAACATCTGGAAATAACAACATTTTGTTCCACTTTATTTCAACTTCAATTACAATGCAAGATCTTTATATAACATGGCAACCTATACCCGAGTGCTTTAAATAACAGTTGGTCATCAGACAATGTCCTGTCAGAAATGGAAATTTTTGTCTGGTCAAATCTTTGCCTTGCCAGTCATTAATTTTTGTACTGTAATATTGAGCCAGAAACAAGGTATAGCTGAGCTTAAACTAATTTGGCCGATGATTGTGACTGGCTGAAGTCCTATTTTAAGTCATGATAGCTATTTCAAAACAGTTGTTGGAGCCAAAAGAGATAAGCAATAAGCAATATAAGAGATACATGTAGGWCATTTCAAGATCCAAGGATAGCTTGAATGACTTTTCATACCTGCGTGGGCCTGATTGTATGATAAAGGGTGGATAGCGCAATCCAACGGATAATCCTAGTACCCTGACCAGTGGATAAATTTATTGGATCTAACAGCATTGATTTATCCACTGGATAAGGATACTGTATGTCTATTGGATAGCACTATCCACCCTTTGTACAGCTGTACAACTGCAGGGCCCTCATATATATTTGTGTCATAGCAAACGATTTTTTTACATGGTTACAAAGAATACTGTCATACTTGAAATGCAGCACCCACTACCTACTGTAGTAAATCTATGAGATTTATCTAATGCATTGGGGTAGGTGTCTGTGATTTACAGTTAGTATATTATTTACTTACTTCCAGCACCCAGTTTCTGTATACAGGTGGTAATGAAAGTAATAAGACTGTGTTCTAATGATACTGACAGGATGGCTTCAAGATGAAACTATGGACAGAGAAAACAGGGTTATTGTAAGACTGGTTCTCCATGTTACATATTTATGTACATCATTGCAGTGTAAGTCAAAGTTATACAATTATTGGTAGTCAAAGACTGATAGGTACATTTTTCTCCTGTGACTTGGAGATGTCAAAGTTTCTTGGTAGAAGTCCTGCAGCCCAACACATGTTGAAATATTCATGAGCTTCAGATAAACTAGAGAGACCTCCTTCTCTTAGACTGGACAAAATCTGTCAGAAATAAGAAAATAATAAGTATGATATAATAATAATAATAATCAAACTGATTAATAATGGGAACAAAACAAAAAAATCACTTGCGTGAAGGTTTGAAAATGTGTTTTTAATTGAGCATGAAATTTGGGCACCTAATGCTTTGAATTTCTATAAGATTTATTTAATATTTCTATTAATAGTTTTATTATCAAGGGTGTCTCATCCTYTATCCAAACTCCTCAAAATTGGCTCAGCTCCACCTCGTTTTTTGAGCTCACTTTACAATTTTTGCAAATTGTATRAAAYACTCTTTCGTGTGTTTGCTATAAAACTTATCAAACGAAGGAAAACACTTTGTATATAACTATATTGTTAATCTATTATTACTTGTCTCTGCATTCCATAAAACTTTGAATGAACAAGTCCAGTTTCCATGAGGCAACAAGTATCTGTCAATAAAGAGATAAATATATATAATGTGTTATAATATGTTAACGCTAAAATATAGTCAGTTTCAAGCTAAGGGTAAAAATTCAACCTGACATTGAAACGTATGAGACTTGGTCTCTGCCACTTTCGAAGTACTGTTAAATTAAAATCTAAGAGCTTGAAAATGTCTCACCAAACTTTAGAGACRCTGGCCAGAAATGCTGCTCCAAAGGTGGTTCAATGTTTGACTTGAATCTTGTTATTGAGTTGCTGTCTATGTAAACATTCTGTTAAAAAACAAAACAAAACAAAGTCATAAATAAAAATCAAAACTGGCAACTATTAAGAGCAGGTTATTRATGGTTTTTAACAAAAGACACRRYRGCCATGTTGGAGGATATAACAAAAGAATTCATTGACAATTCTTTTGTTAAGTTCCTCTAACATGGCTGCCGTGAAAACCATCAATAGAGTAAATCATTTATCAATGTTTTCAATGCAATTTGCTTGTTGAGGCAAGAGTTGCATAATTTAAATCGACAATAGACTTAGTACCATTGATCATTGAAATATTCCCTATGTAACCTTCCTATAGAGGCTTTGCACCATCACGTGATGGCGGCCATGACAGGAGGCACAACAATAGAGTCTTTTCCCCTAATTGGGAAACTGAATCCTTTCTCATGTAAATCAGATTAGACTAAAGCAAGTAACAGAATAATAGAAGAATAGARGCTTTGCAACATCACGTGATGGCAGCCATGACARAAGGCACAACAATAGAGTCTGTTGCCACTTGGAGACTGAAATCTTTCTCATGTAAATCAGATTAGACCAGATTCAATTGCTCTGGCCTCCTGTCATGGCTGCCATCACTTGATGGTGCAAAGCCTCTATAGTTCTGATGTAGGTCCTTAATCCATTCTAAAGATTGGTTTATTTATTTTTTATTATGTTTAATTATACAAAATATTTATTTTTTACACAGTGCCATAAATTTTAGACTAAAACATTGCATATTTGGTTRATAGTAGTCTATTGTTGATTAACCTGCCATGWGTTATATGTCAATCAGGTGTGTCCWCAGATGTTTATACTTACAACAATGCCGTCAGGGTTKGCGATGTCCAGTATCTCAGCCAATGAGAAGAATGCAAAGAAGGGACAAGTGGAATCTTTGCTACCAAACATTGCATCCCTGGAAAAGATTGGAAAAAAAGAAAAAATTGTACTTAGAAGTGTTATCTGATGATGATTGCTCAAGTATATTATTGTGACTGTCGCAATCAGTACTGTAAAACTGTGATGGTGATGATGATGATGATGGTCATGGTGATATCTGACACTGATGAAGATGATGATAATGACACGTTGATGATGTTGATCAGGATGATGATAAAGATGACATATGATAACGAGATGTTGATGAAGTTGGTGACGATGATGATGATGAGWACAGATGATGAGGATAACAATGATTTTGGTGTGGAGGATGGTGACAGGTAATGCTGATGATTTTGACATTTGACATGATGTTCTTGATGATGAAGATGATGATGACTATGATGATGTTGGTGATGGTGACGATGATCATCATAGGGAGTGATAGTGACAACAGATGATGATGATGACAACAATAATGATGGGTGATGATGATGATGATGATGAATTGAGGAAGATGATCACAAAGATGATAAACAGAGGTTATCAGTTGGATAAGCGTCTAAAACGGCTGTGTATTTTTACGAGTCATGGAGTATTTTGGTGAGCCTTTAGGCGAGTCAAAAAACAAGTGACGAGTAAAAATTCACAGCTGTATCACATGCTTAAGCCTACTGATAAGTTGTTTATCATTATTTTAATTCTGCAAAAAAAATGCTCAAAATCCTTCTAAACTATATCATACCAGAGCACAAGCAGTGCTGATACACTCTCATATCAGRCATGGTCTTTTCCYGTWTMAYRCACGTTCTTTRCAGAATTAAAWAATRATGGCAATCAACAATTTGAGTTTTWGCAAWWTTTCTATCTTGAATGAGAAGCATTAAATATAACTACCTTATAGATGGCTGCATCTGAGAGTGGTACCATCTGTTCACATCAAATATCCCCAGATGACACAAAGGACTTGACAATGGATCATGTGATGGTGCTTCCCAGACACACACCATTAGTGTCAAGTCTCTGCTCATACCTAAATAGTGCATATATCATAAATAAAACTAGGTCTTTTTAAAACTATAGATCTACCCAAGAATGCATTAATTCCCAATCTTGGGGTCAAAGCAAAATAATTCACCTTTTCGACGCTAGCTGTCACATGGTATAAATTGTGTTTGATTGTGTTACGGTCACCAAGAAGTTTGGACATTTTTCTCGGATTTCCGTACAAATGTACTGMTTTTAAATGAACTATTTACTTGGTTTGTTTAGTATGTCTCTAAGTACAAGTAAAATATCATTTTTCTAACTTGATTGAAGCTTTTCTTATTGCTGTTAAGAGAGCTAACTAAAGAAATCTATCTAAATTTTCTCTTTAAACTCAGTGTGTTTACGACATGAATTGCCTTAGATATTAGATATACTACTAGGTAAAAGCTTTTACTACCTTCATCAGCTCTTGAAACTTCTTGGGAAAAGCTTTCCTTTTCTGAAAAATAATCATCAAAACTGATTTGATTGAAATGAACCAGGCTTTACTGTAGACACTAACAATATATTTGATTGTTTGTCTCAACTTTTGTCTCAATTTATTTATTGTATGGCACTGGTAATCATTTTAAACCCTATAGCAATAATTAAAACAGTGATAAGTGATGTTACATGTATTGTAGCCCTCCTTACCTAGTGTGTAACAACAGATAATTTTACTGCCTACTGATGTAGCATCAGCAAGATGATGTGCATCTGCTGTAAGCTGGTGTTCAAATCGTCTGCCACATCCACCAAGGTTCTAAAAAAGAGGTGTTTATTTATGCATCATATCATTGAAAATTGTTATYAACTTATAAGGTAGTGAACTTGGTTTCATTCAAATAGTTTGCATGGGATTGGATGAGGTGGGATGAGATGGGATAAAATGATGAGTGGATGGACGGACGG